CTCTGCAGATTTAGAAAAGGAGAGAAAAATCAAACGTAAGCATATTATTGCAAAGGTCTGTGTGTAAAGAATCGATAAACCAGGAAGAATTCGTTTATCAAGACTTACCACGAAACTGACTGAACGTAGTTTTAGCTTGTGAACAGTGGCCTTGGCAGTCAGTCCATGCGTATGCACCCATGCACGGACGTGAGTGTGGGAAAGGCCCAGGGACCAGAGCACAAGAACCACGGTGCTCCATGCCAGATACACGTGGATAAGCTGAGGGGTTGGGAAAGACGGGACACGGCGGGAGATAATTTGGTGGAAAGAGGACAATCAACAGGGAAGGGGATAGTGAGGAACGCGCAGAGAAGATAGATCTAAAAAACGTATATTTAGCACCGAAATAGAAAATTACAAAAACTAGTCTGCAATAGATGAATTGATAAGGCAGAACCATACCAGGATATAGATGTTGACAACTGGAGGCATGAGCTTGCTTAGACCAGCAGGTAAGGACGACAGGTACAAGAACCCCGACTGTGCAACTGTTTCATCCATATTTTCCACTTTCCCAAACCCTGAGGCAGGCTGCATGGAGGGTCAAAATGTATCAGGAATATCACATGGAACTTCAAATAATATAAATCAATTCGACTGAGGCTATAATAAGTGGGAATAATAACATTAGGAGCCCAACCTCCTAAATTGCAAGTAAAACGGCGCTTTGTTTCCTATTGTTTCCTAACCTTTCAACCAGAAAACTGATCCAGTGCGCGGACCCCGCCTTACCCTGCCCTGCTCCTGTCTTGCACTGCCCTGTTGCACCTCTTGATAATCGTTGTAGTCGTTCCTGTATCGCCCAAACGCGGACACAGCCGTGACCGCTGCAAGCAGTGCAATCGCCGTCACCAGAAGCCTCGCCATCCCCGCCATAGCCACGACTCACAAGCTGAGAGGTACACTAAAATTTGGCAGCTAAAATTATGTCTCCAGTTGCGCCTCAGTTGCGCAGCTGAGAGGTGCACTGAAAGCCAAAGGATGCTACTGGAGTGCTGGAGCTTACCTAGTAGGTATCAGCCCGTTGCCTTATGAGCTGCTACCACAGGGCCGAGGCGGAACAGACATTGCCGCTCGGCGAGCCGACGGCGGAGGTGGCGCGGCTACTACTACTAGTATTGCGAGGAGGTTCGGCGGCGACAGCGACACATTTTCCGCCTGCTGCCGCACTGCGCGCTCAGCCCCTTCCTTTCCCTTTCCCCTCTCCCGCTCCCCCGCGACCTCTGCGTCCGCGGAGGCGCGCGCCAACGAGCCATGCGGGGAGGGGGAGATAAGGCATGCGCATAAGCGTTGGGTTAAGATGGAGGCCGACCAGGGCGGAGCGGGGCGGATTCATGGTTGGGGGGGGAGGCCTGGGGCGAGAGGGGCGGAAACGACTCGCGTGCATGCGAGAGAGGATGGCTGCCTGGGAGGTTCCTATGGAGAGCCGAGGCCACGTGGCAAGCAATTAGGAGGAATGCTGGGCGGAAGGTAGAGCTGCTCAATAACGTAGTGAGGAATCGGTGCCTCTATCGGATTTACCAATGTGCTTTCTACAGTGAATTATGAGAAATGCTACATTTGTATACAGCACATTTTGCTGTTCTGGAACTCGCTACATTTTCCAGATCCATCAACTCATGTCTACTCCAAAAGGACTACAAGGGCGAGTTGCCCCCGTGTCATGCAGTTGGTACAGAGTTCGCGAGCTGACCCGTGGGACATGTCGATCTAGCGGCCACTGCGCGACCGTTAACGCCAGGACCTCTGAAAGTGTCGCCAGGTAGCACCGACGAGGTCATGCGAGATTTATTAACAATTCGTTAGTCACAAACCTAGGTCGTGGAGCATTCTAATTGGGTCGGCTTGATTCGCTGATTCTGGTTCGGTCAATATATGCGACACTGAACCTGACTGGTAGACGCGAAATCACCGGTTTGAGAGAGCGGGAAATATTGCCGCCAGCGTCGAGCTCCCCTGACACCCGGGCAGTATGTGCTTCCACGTATCAGGTAGGGCTGTACCACATGCTTGACACGCGCTATAACTTCGCCCTAAAAGAATTCTAGAATCCTCGGGAATTCCCTCACAGCCTCCACCTTGTCCATTCACGCGTTTGATCCATCCGTTGGTTGCCTCGGGATTTGTATTCCTTGCACAGATTCGCACTTGTACATCCCACTTCGGCACATGCTGGCAGCTTCTTCCTCAGCCGCGTTTCCAGCCCATTTACCTACTCAATTCCTAGTCCTGTCGAGTTACACCCTGTCCAGTCGTCGCCTGCGCCGCATTACGACCGAGTGAGCGTTGATCCCCTCTGCTCATCACGCATTTTAGCAGAGCGTACTCTCGACGCAGCATTACCAGCGAATTCCCTCCTCTGTAGTAACTAACTGTACAAACTGTACTCTTCGCATGGGCTCTTCTACCTGAAACTAGTCATCTCCTCAAAATGTATGTCACGAATAGGATGACTCTCCTAGTTATGACCCACTAAGCCAATGAGAATAACCCTGCATCGCCTGCTAACCGGCTGCATCGGGGGTTCTGCTAGGTACCATTGCTCGAAAGTTATTTGTGACCCATCGCTATTGTCACCTCCGCTATCAGGCACGAACAGGTCGTATCAGGTGCCTGCGCAGGCAGACACGACATCAGCAACAGGCATAAGCCGGTCGAGTAACACATTCGCGAAAGTTCGTTACTCAGCATCAGGAGCGAGTTACCCGACCGTGATCCCATCTTGCGCAGGCGCAAGGGTTACAACTCCAAAAAGCCTCAGCCGAAAACTATTGAGGCGAAACGCTTCTTCCCAGAGTGTTTTCTGGGATCCTACGAGGGGTACACCTCCCACCGTATTCTCTTTGACAGCCACCTCCTCCTTCGCCACCACTTTCAGCCGTTCTCAACCGTTCAGTGTCCATCCAAAGCGACATTGCCATCCCTTGCTCCTCAGGATCGCATCGCCAGCTGGCAGTTTGGGACTGGCCCGTGTTTCCCATCGTGTCACGCCACGGCACACCAGTAAGCGGTTAGCCGGCCAAATGGACGGCCAGCTGCAGCAGCAAGAGAACAGACCTGACGGCGAGGCCAGGGGGGGGGAGGAGGTCGGAAACGGAGAGGTGAATCCGATGGTGGACGAGGTGGCGAATTCGGCGTCACAGGGCGCAGAAGCAGAAGCGGGACCGCTTTTAGAGGGGATGGAGCAGAATGGCGCTCACAACAGCAGCACCAGCTTCGGTCAGTACCTCGGTAACACACTGTTGCCGTGGCTATCTCCCTTCGCAGGCCCTCTGTTGTCATGCTAGCCTTATCCTCAACATCTTCCACTTGGGTCGTTTATGCACCTCAGCTTCACTGTCTTTCACGAGTCATGGTTCACTAAACCATGAGCCACTCTCATTAGGCACCATGAGCTTTCGCTCATTATGCTGTATGAGAGATGCATGCGCGGCTAACTTGCGTGTAACCATGCTGGTCGTGCAACTTTTTGCGCTGGAATCTCACCCTCCTTTTTCTCCTCCCCCTCTTACCACACCCATCCCCTTACCACCTGCAACCCTTTTCCCCTTCCCTACCATTCCTCCATCCTCGCTCCCCCAGGCACCACCAACTATTCTGGCTCTCCACCGCACCCCACCCCCCCTTCCTCCCAAGCCTCCCTCCTCCTCCTCCGCCTGTCCCGCGCCCTCACCACGCTCCCCTCCCTCTCCCACCTTCGCCTCACCTTCCTCACCATCATCGCCATTTCCCCCCTCATGTATTTATGCGCCTCCTGGGCCGATGCCTTCTAACTCCCCCAAGCCTTGTTCCCTCTCCCTTAAGCCGGCTTCCCTGTCCTCCAAGCCAGCTTGAAACCTGTCGTTTAACCTCTTCTTCTTTGTCTTCTTCCCTTCCCTTCCTATTCCCCATCCTCCATTTCCCCGTTTCCCCGTTGCCCTCTTCCCCCAGGCACCAGCAACGCATCCGCCCCTCCAACCCCCCCTCCATCCTCTACCTCTTCCTACCTCCCCCAAGCTGGCTTCCCCGTCCTCCAAGCCGGCTGGGAACCTGCTGTTAAACCTCCTCTTCTTTGTCTAATGTTCACCTTTCTCCCTTTACCCCCGCCCCCCTCCCCCCTTCCCCCAGGCACCAGCAACGCATCCTCCCCTCCAGCCCCCCCTCCCTCCCTCCTCTCCCTCGCCTTCCTCCGCCTGTCCCGTGCCCTCACCACGCTCCCCTCCCCCGCGCACCTACGCGTCACCCTCCTCACCATCCTCGCCATCTCCCCCCTCATGTACATCTTCGCCTCGTGGGCCGACGCCTTCTACCTCCCCCAGGCTGGCTTCCCAATCCGCCTCATCCTCTTTGTCTTCGTCTTCCCTTCTTTCTGGGAAGAGCTCTTCTGGAGAGTGCTCCTCAATCCGCACCCAGACGAGCCCCCCTCGCCTCTTCCCCCCTGGCTGCACACTCGCCTCGCTTCCCTCTCCTCTCGGATTACCTCCCTCCTCTCTCCCCTCCTCTCTTCCCTCCACTCCGCCTTCCCGTCTCTGCGCTCCTCCCCGCTTCCTCGGGAATGGCTCGCAGATCCAAAAGTGTTTTACGGCGTCCTTTCAACATCACTATACGTGTTAGCACATCCGTTTTCAGCATGGATGGGCCGCCCTGCCGCGTTAAGGTTATTTTCGCACCCGGGTTTTCTGCTATGCTGTGTGGTGCTGGGGTCGGCCTGTCTCGTAGTGTACCGGAGAACTGGATCAGCGTGGGCGGCCATCTTGGTGCATTGGGTGGCGGTGTCTGTTTGGATGTGCTTGGGAGGGAGGCACCAGGCACCGTTTTGAGAATTTCTATAACTACATGGGTTTTCTGCACTCAACAGCAGTCACGCCCAGCCCAGGGTATGATGCCACATGAAACCTGCATTACTGGCATGTTATCCATACAAGGATCGGAGTCATCATGGGGCGGGTTCTGGATACAGTGTTGGATGAAATAAGCTGCCTAGGTTATCAGGTGCAACAGCAAACGTGGTACACGAACTGTCCAGCAGCAACCGATTCTGTTACGTCATTATCGGCTTGCATGTTACGTAATCTCCATTCACACATGCACTCGTTTCAGATCAACAAGAAATCTGGCAGCCATGCACCACTCTACCCTTTACACGCCCAGCTCTGCATTATTGGGCGGCTTCAGGACGAGCAAGCAAGCCTACAGTACAGTACCATTAGCTTATACGCATGGACAGCCAGCAGCTGCAATGGAGGAAGGCTGAGAACTGGCAGGCAGCAATGGCAGGTGAGTCTTGCCAACACTTGTGCTGGTGCTGCAGCTGTTGGTATTGCTGCACGTGGAAATAGAGCGCCCATCCAGCTCTGCCAGTAGCCACCACTACCGTGCCCCAAGCACTCCCTCTCATTTGTCTTTCTCGGCCCCCTCGCGCTCCTTCCACTCCTCCCGTATCTTCCGCTTCTGCACCGCCCTCTCCTTGCCGTTAACTCCACCTCTCAAGTGTTCCTCTCACTCCCCTCGCACTCCCTCTGCTCCTCCCGTGTCTATCGCTTCTGCACCGCCCTCTCCTTGCCTTGAACACCACCAACTCCACCTCTCAAGTGTTCATCTCCCTCCCTTCTCGTGCCCGCCGCTCCTCCCGGATCTTCCGCTTCTGCTCGGACCTCTGCTTGGCTCGCTCCTCAAACCCACTCTCTGACACCTTCAGCAGCGCTGCTCGTCTAGCCTTGAACACCTGGAGAGAGAGTGGAGAAACAGGAAAGAGAACCATTTAAACACTCAACTCTGCTTCGCCCTCTCCTCAAACCCACTCTCCGACGCCTTCAGCAGCGCTGTCCTCCTAGCCTTGAACACCTGGTAGCAAGCGGATGACTTCGCTTCAAGCACTTGAGCATTAAAAAAAGCGCTAATTTTTTCTGAAGCAGAGCTAAAAGCAGAACTATGTCTAACTCAGAATAAGAGCAAGGCGTGAGATAGGGAGTGACAGGACTCGAAAAGTCCCCCAGATTGACTCTTGTTCACCCTCCCTCTCTGTTGTAGCTTTTATGCACGTTTCTTAAGCACATCAATCCTGTTTTTAGTCACCTTGCTGATGCATTTAAGCACGTCGCCTTCAGTCACGTCAGTGCACTCCGCCAGCTGTCGGCCGATGAGCTTCTCGATGCTGTGCACCAGATGCACGTCGTACTGTGGGAAGGATCAACAAAGGGGGAGGGGGAGGGGAGGAGAAAGAACAAATGCCGAAGGTGAACACACACTCTGCACCATCACTGCATTCCGCCAGTTGTCGGCCGATGAGCTTCTCGATGCTGTGCACCAGGTGCACATCGTACTGTGGGAGGGAGTGGGGGGTGGTGGTGGTGGTGGTGGTGGGGGGGGCAACAAAGGAGAAAATGCTTTATTAGAAGACTCAATACGGACCATATGCATCTGTATTGGCGCTGCCAGAGGTGTGTTCCCCCTGCCTCTCACAGGCGTTCTCTCCCCACCTTTCCCCTCCCTCCCTCCCTTTGCCTGAGGAGTCTATTTTTGAGGCGCCTCAAAAATAGCCACCTTTTCCCTCCCTCCCTTTTCCCTCCCTCCCTCCCTTTGCCTCCATGCTGTGCGTGGTCCGCCTGGTGTAATCACTCCCATTTCACGCACGAATGATCACTTGCAGTGCGGTGTTCACCTCAGGGCTGCCAGCCACTCACACACTCTCACTGCACCATCCATTACTGTCACTCTCACTCCCTCACCTGCGTCACAAGGCTGATGGCACGGCCGCCCCGCCCTGCTCTCGCTGTTCGTCCCACCCGGTGCACATAGTCTCGCGTGAACCTGAAGGGAGAGGTTGGGGTGAAAGAGTTGTCAAAAGAAGTCTCAAGCATCGTCTCTCTGCCACCCCTCCCTGCTCATGCCGTTCGTCCCACCCTGCGCACATAGTCCTGGGTGAAAGTGCAGTGGGGCAGAGCAGAAGGGCGATAGAGTGGGGCGTTTACAGTCGCCTCAAAAATCGTGATAGAGGAGGGAGGGGCGCCCCTCCCTGCTCATGCCGTTCCTCCCACCCTGCTCACACAGTCCCCGGTGAACCTGCAGTGGCGAAGCGTTGAAAGAATGAGGCGAAAGAGGACCCAGTAAGGCTCATCCCCGATCACAAACGAAGAGTCTCTCAACTCAAGGTAGCGTTGGGACGCCCAGCCCTCTACTGGCGACGTCAGTGGCAGCCAGGATGGGCGCAGTTGCGGCCCTAGTTGGAGTGCCTCATCCCACACTCCTACACTGTACCCACCTGGGAATGTCGTAGTTGACGACCAGGTCCACTGTGGGATGTCCAGCCCTATACTAGCAACGTCTGTGGCCACCAGAATGGGCACTTGGGAAGCCTCGAATCACAGAGTTACTACCATGTCAGGGTGATAAACCAGGGCCCACCTGGGGATGTCGTTGTTGACAACCAGGTCCAGCCCTCTACTGGCACGGTCAGTGGCAACCAGGATGGGCACTTGGGAAGTCTTGAATGACATGACTGCACTCACGTGCGCCTCTACTGTCACACTTGATAGCAGCACCCACCTGGGAATATCGTAGTTGATTACAAGATCAACTGTAGGAATGTCCAGCCCTCTGCTAGCGACGTCAGTGGCCACCAGAATGGGCACTTGGGAAGCCTTGAAGCGGTGGAGGGCGGCTGACCGCTTGCGCTGCGGCAGCAGGGCGTGCAGAGGGGCGTTGGACAGGCCCACCTCGTCAAGCAAAGCGCTCACGGCTTGACATGAGCTGGGAGAAGGGGGCAGAAAAGGGGGAGGGGCAGATCAACTAGCAGCCGTGAAGCGGTGCAGGGAGGCTGACCGCTTGCGCTGTGGCAGCAGAGCGTGCAGGGGGGCGTTTGACAGGCCCACCTCGTCCAACAGGGCGCTGACAGCCTGACATGAGGTGGGAGATTGGGGAGAAGAGGCGAGAAAGGGATGGAGCTGCCTTGACACCAGGGGATGACAGCTGTTCGCTTGCGCTGCAGCAGCAGGGCGTGCAGGGGGGCGTTGAAGAGACCCACTTTGTCTAAGAGGGCGCTGACAGCCTGGCAATAGCTGAGCGTGGAGGAAAGAAAAGGGGGAGGAAGGGGAAGGGTGGGTGGCCACGTGTCAGGCAACGTTTCAGGCCACGTGTCAGGGCATGTGTGAGGGCATGTGTCAAGGGGCACGTGTGAATCTAGATGCTGACATGAGGTCATCATAGAGCTTAAACCTGCACGCACGAGGTGGTTCTTCCAAGCGCAGCCGAGACGTTGGACTCTTAACAACTTGAACAGACAAGTTTTGAGGCAACTCAAAAGTTACCTACACACGCGTGGTGCTTCCTCGAAGCACGCCTGGCACATTGGACCCTTGACCCCTTGAACCGGAAACCCAAGAAGGCAGTGCTGGAAGGCTGAAAGGCTTACTTGCAGGAAGAGGTGAAGAGTATAATGGAGCAGACACGGTGTTTCTGACAATTCTTAAACACCAGGGTGAAAGGCAAACTGGCAGGAGGAGATGACGACAACTGTAACAGAGTGGACAGGGGGAGGCAAGTAGAGGTGGGTAGGGTAGGGGGGCGGAGGAGCCCTAGATCGCACTAAGCAGCCGCCAGTGCCCCAGGAATAACTAGAACAGGACTCCCCTTCCCTCCCCTCCTCCCCCTCCCCCATCCCCGCCCCCGCCCCCACCTTTTTAAAGTTTACTGGCAGCAGGAGGTGCAGACAACACGGAGCAGACAGTGGGGAGGGCAGGGTCGAGGGACACCAGACCAAGAGAGCCCCCCCTCTCTCCCCTTCCCCCCTCCTTGTGCTCTTTTATTAAGTCTTGCTTGCAAGCGGATGTGAAGACAATTGTGGCGCGCAAAGTGGGGCAGCCAGCACTGGACCACAGCACGTCTTGCCCCATTCCATCCACACATGCACACCCACTCCCCCCCTCCTTCTCCCTTCGGAGTCGACTCAAAAGGTGACTTTTGAGGTGACTTTTGAGCCGACTCAAAAGTACCCTCATGCATACCCACTACCCCTCCTCCTTCTCCCTTCTGCTCCCAAAGCGTACTGGCAGGAGGAGGTGAAGGCGAAGAGGGTGGAGCACACGGTGGGGCGGGCGGCAGCAAAGCACAGCAACACTTGCTCCATCACACACCAGCCCCCTCACTTCAACAGCCTCCCTTTCCTCAACCGATTGAAGGTTTCCCCAACCGATTGACAAGAGTGTTAGAGATAGGCTGCAATTCGGTTAACACAACTTTGTGTGTTGGCACTTTGTTGGTTTTAGGGATTCACAAATTTGTTAGGTTGGGTGTAGCTATGTTTTCATCCCCAACCTATCCCAACCCAATCCATCCCAAATCCCCACGATTTGGGAGGATTCCCTTGGGATTCCCTTCGATTCTCCCTTATCCCTTGCCATCCTCTCCGATGCTCGGTACTTAAGGATGTATGCTCTTGCTCATTTCAATCAATCAAGTTCTCAGTTTCTGATATGGTATCAGAGCTCGTTTCCGCCTAAGCGGCTCTTGATCCTCTCGCTCCGTTGGAGCTTAGCATTTGCGTCTTACGACGCAAAGCATTTCTAGTCGCCTCAACTCAGCGCGGCGCTTCTCTTCGGGCTGACGCCCGTCGCCACGCATCTGCTCGTCGCACCTGATCGGGCTGAGCCCGTCGCCCCGCATCTGCTCATCGCACCTGATCGGGCTGAGCCCGTCGCCCCGCATCTGCTCGTCGAAGCTGGACGGGCTGTCGCCCGTCGCCCTTGCAACAGCGGGGGGGTGCAGCGGCGAAGCGGACAAGGGGGCAGCGGCGAAGCGGAAAAGGGAAAAGGGGGGTGGTCGCGGAGCAGCGGGATTGCAGCAGCATATCGAGAATTCATAAAGACTTCGGCGATCAGATTTCCTTCTCAATCGGCCATTTTCGCTCTCCGAGCGTTGAAAATCCGCAAAAGAAAATCTGGTTTTTCGCAGAGCCCGCGCTGCGCGCATCGAAGTGCCTATCGGCGACTTAAGAGCTGCGCTTCGCACGGAGCTAGGGTCCTTAGAGCATCATGGCGTACCCTTCCGCGTCTCTCTCAAACCCGATCACTCCCTTGCGCCTCGACCCAAATGGCTTAAGCCCTAACTTCAAGGAGTGGAGCTATGGGGTTGACAAGCATCTCCTAAGCCGCAAGATTGAGGGGATTTGCCTTAAGGATGTCCTCCTCAATCGCGGCAAAGGAAAGATGCCGGTCCTTCCCAAGAAGCTCTCAGCCACGGCCACAGAGGAAGAGTCAAAAGCGCACGAGGAATCCATGTCCAAGTATGAGGAGTCTTACAGCGTGTGGGAGCAAGCCGACGCCGCTATCATTGGCGTCTTCGTCGGCACTACCCCTTCCGAGCTCGTCAAAACTTACCATAACTACCCCTCCGCGCACGCCATTTGGGAGTACCTCAACGACCGCTTCCTCAACAAAACCGCTGTGGGGGTGGCGATACTCATCCCCCGCATGTTTCAAGTGCGTCTGGAGGAGTGCCCTGGAATGGCAGACTACGTCGTTGAGATTCAAGGGATTCATCAGGAGCTGAAGCAACTCGGCATTGTCTTCCCAGAGCAAGCCCCTGCAGCAGCTCTGCTTGTTGGGCTAACCCCCTCCTACAATGTCACCCGCTCCATGCTTCTCCATCTCCCGCCAGAAGAGCTAACCTTTGCCAAAGTCTCTTCCGCACTTCTCTCTGCTGAGAAAGACAACACTGCGCAGGCTCGTGCAAATGCGCTTCGCGCTCCTGTCCTGGCTCCAGCATCGCGTCCCAATCCGCCACCCACTCGTAACCGCTACCCACCCTGTCCTTACGTCATCAAGATGGGACCCCGTGCGGGTCAGGTGTGCGGCGGCACCAATCACCCGCTCGCCACCTGCTTCAAGAAGAAGGACGACGACTGGTTCGCCAAGAATGGTATCAACTCCAAGCCGCCCAACTGGCTTCGCATGCGCCAGCTCAACCATGTTGAGGCACATGATAGTCAGGACTCAGCCGTTCATGCCCCTAGTCCTGATGTTTGTCTCAACCTGTTGTTCCCTGGCCTTCCCATGATCAATGAAACCAGTTCCCAGTACTCGGCGTCTCCACAAACACCATCCAAACCACTTGAATTCGTCCTGGACAGCGGCGCAACCCACACAGTCCTCCGAGACAAAGAGTCTTTCAAACCATACCAAGCACCCATTCCTCTCCTGGGCGCTGACTCCAGCTTCACAACTGTTGCCCATGGTTCCTCCACTCTTCCATGCCCAGCCTTCCCATCTGGCACAGTCACTGGCCTATGCGTGCCCACTCTTCGGCACAACTTACTTGCACAACATGAGATTCAACGAGCAGGGGTAACCACTATCTTCCCAGCTCATTCCAATCATTGTGATCTCCTTGATCCCACCAACAATGCCCTCCTTGCACGCTTCATACTGAACGCCAACAATCTCTACACACTCCAAGTACCTCCATCTTTCACTGAAGCACACTCTACCTCCACCACATCATCATGCCTCTGCCGTCAACTCACCGACCCAACCATTCTTTACCACCATCGTCTCGGACATCCCAACTTCCGCATGCTCTCCGAACTTGCGTCTAAGAAGTTGCTTCTTCACCTGCCCGACACACTTCCTCCACCCGCCACTTCTCCCGCTCCTCCATGCTTGGACTGCGCGCAAAGCAAACTACGCCAGCTGCCTCACCCTTCCTCGCCCTCCGCTGCAGCCGCCCCGCTTGACCTCGTCCACATGGACGTCTGGGGCCCAGCTCCACTACGCTCTCGTGGCGGGCACTCTTACTTCCTAGTGCTCGTTGACGATCACTCTCGCTATGCGTCCGTCCAACTCCTCTCCTCCAAAGCAGCTGTTCCCGATGTCGTCATCGCATGGGTTCGACAAGCCCAAAATCATTTCCGCACTCCAGTCAAGTGCCTCCATTCCGATGGCGGTGGCGAATTTCAAAACCATTCCCTTCAAGCGTTCTGTGCCTCCCAAGGCATTCGCCAGACCTTCACCCTTCCCCACAGTCCGCAGCAGAATGGCATTGCTGAAAGTCGCAATCGCACTCTCGTGCAAATCGCTCGCTGTCTTCTCACTCACGCTGGTGCACCACCTTCACTTTGGAGTTACGCCCTCCTTCATGCCACGCTGCTGTACAACCTTCACCCTCACCCTCTTCGTCCTGCCATCACTCCCGCTGAACTGTGGACCGGCACCAAGCCCAGTGCACGTGCTCTCCGCGTATGGGGGTGTACCGCTTATGTCCTCCTCAACCCTCAGGAACGTCGCACCCATGGCGGCAAATTTGCACCCAAAGCTCAACCCTGTGTCTACCTCGGCCACAACCTGGACTCTCCCGATTACCTTTTCCTCAATCCCTCCACCAATCAGCTCGTTCGTAGCCGCGATGTCGCCTTTGACGAGAGTCGCCCTTTTTACCTCTCTTCACCATCCACCACCGCTCCACCTTCGCTTGTGTGTGCCGATTTCGATACCTCACCCTCTCCACCTCCTCCCTCTGCCGCTCCTCCTGCGACCCCCTCACTCTCACCTCCACCATCTCCTTCCACTCTCTCTCACCCCTCTTCGCCCACTGGCTCAGTTGCCCGTTCACCTCCGCCCGCGCCTGCACTTCCCCCTGCACCCGCTCCTGCAGCTGCCCCTCCCCCTGCCCCTGCACCTCCATCCCCGCCTTCTCCTCCGCTTCCGCCTCCAACCTCGACCTCTCCTCCTGACTCGCCCATCACATATCGTCGCCGCCGCCACGGACGCTCTTATGTCGACGTCCCACCTGCTCCCCCACCACCTCCCTCCTCTCCTGTCCCTATTGCTCACCGCACCCACTCTCATGGTCCCGCTCCGCCTCTCGCCCTCTCTGTTCGCATCTCCCTCAATCCGCCTCCTCCTGCCGGGGGTGCATCCATGCCTGGCCTCTTGGAGGATAGGCATGAGGAGCTGATCGAGATCAATGCTGCCATCCGTCAGCTCTGCCATCTTTTCCCCGATCTTGCCGACTCTCCAACTCTTAACTTCTCGGAAAATCCATCTATTCCAACCCCGAACTCATATGATGAAGCCATCTCCGGACCACACTCCCCCCAGTGGCTCGCAGCCATGATCGCGGAGTGTGAAGCATTCATTCGCAACAACTCTTTCACGGACGTCTCTCCTCCGCGAGGAGTTAACATTGTCCGTGGCAAATGGGTTTTTCGCGTCAAGCAGCTGCCTGGCGAACTCCCAGTCTTCAAGGCACGATACTGTGCAAAAGGCTTCACACAGAAGAAGGGCCTGGACTTCTTCGACACATTCTCTCCGACAGCCAAACTGCCCACGCTTCGGACCCTACTGGACATCGCTGCTCGATGCAACTTTGACATTCACTCCATGGACGTCTCTGCTGCATTTCTCCAAGGGGATCTCCCCGAGGACATCTACATGGAGCGTCCTCAAGGATTTCCCTTACCCTTTCCACCCGGCACGGTCTGGAAGCTGAATCGACCAGTCTACGGGTTGAAGCAGGCTCCTCGGGAATGGCACAAGAAGCTGAAGGCAACCCTCGAGTCACTCGACTACCACCCCTCCTCAGCCGATCCGAGTCTCTTCATTCGCAAGAACGAGAACCCGTTCTTCATTCTCGTGTACGTTGACGATATGATTCTCATCTCCAAGAACTCCGATCAGTTGGCAGCTGTTAAGCAAGCTCTTGGGGACGCTCTCGCCATGAAGGACCTCGGGGAACTCAAGAACTACCTTGGGATGGAAATCTCGCGGGATCGCGAAGCTCGAACCATCACTCTCTCTCAAGAGTTCTATGTGAACAACGTCCTCAAGCGTTTTGCCATGGACAACGCCAAGCCAGTGGCCACTCCCCTTCCCTTGCAGCATGATCTGACCACTCCATCAGTTCCATCACCTGAGCCTTGTGATGAGGCATACCCCGAGCTCGTCCGATCACTCATGTATGCGATGATGTGCACAAGGCCCGACCTCGCCTACCCCATCAGTGTCCTCTCGCGTTACGTTGCTGCCGGTCGATACACCAATCGCCACTGGTCGGCTGCTAAGCGCGTCCTTCGCTACCTCCAAGCCACCAAGGACTACGTCCTCACTCTCGGTGGCACAACCCCTCCTCACCTCGAGGGATACAGCGACTCCTCATGGGCTGATGATCAAGCTGACCGCCGCTCTTCCCAAGGCTATTGCTTCACCCTTGGCAGTGGTGTCATCAGCTGGCGATCTACACGCTCATCATCTGTCTCATTGTCATCTTGCGAAGCTGAGCTATACGCAGGCACCATGGCAGCCCAAGAAGCTCGATGGCTTACCTACCTCATGGCTGAGCTCGGGTACCCTCAGCAGACCCCGACTCTGTGGTGTGATAACGAGAGCACTATCCACCTCACCAAAGACCCTGTCTTCCACCAACGAACCAAGCATATCGAATTGAGACACTTCTTCATGCGCGAGCTCGTCCAGCGAGGGCAGTTGTGCGTCAAGCATATTTCCTCTGACTGCAACCTCGCCGACTTGTTTACGAAGGCTCTTGGACGCCGTGATCACTATCGTCTCCTCCGTACCATGGGACTTGGTGTCTCTCCGTCTTCCGACGTTGCAGCCTAGGGGGTGTGTTAGAGATAGGCTGCAATTCGGTTAACACAACTTTGTGTGTTGGCACTTTGTTGGTTTCAGGGATTCACAAATTTGTTAGGTTGGGTGTAGCTATGTTTCCATCCCCAACCTATCCCAACCCAATCCATCCCAAATCCCCACGATTTGGGAGGATTCCCTTGGGATTCCCTTCGATTCTCCCTTATCCCTTGCCATCCTCTCCGATGCTCGGTACTTAAGGATGTATGCTCTTGCTCATTTCAATCAATCAAGTTCTCAGTTTCTGATAAAGAGGAGGTGAAAGCAAAGACGGTGGAGCGCATGGTGAGGTGGGCGGCAGAAGAGTGGTGGTGGGAAGAGAAACCCTTAATTCCACTAAACCACACCTAACGCCCCCCCTTTTCCTACCACTTACTGGCAGGAGGAGGTGAAGACGATAACGGAGCGCACGGTGGGGCGGGCAGCAGCAGAGGCAGGGAGAGGCGGGGCGGGGGGGAGGATGGTGGGGAGGGAGGGGAGGAGCCGGGAGAGGAGGCGGCAGAGGTAGACGTCCCTCACGTTGGCGGGGAGGAAGAGGTACGTCTGGTCCAGGGCTTCCACCGTTTTGAACCCCTCGTACGCCTCGAAGTGGAAGAGCTTCTTGGTCTTGCTCATGGCCTGCACGGGGCATGGGGAAATGGCGAATGGGGCATGAAAAAAGGTGGAGGGGACAGGCATGTCAGGTCCAAGGCTTCCACCGTTTTGAACCCCTCGTACGCCTCGAAGAGGAAGAGCTTCTTGGTCTTGCTCATGGCCTGCACGGGGCATGGGGAAATGGCGAATGGGGCATGAATAAAGGTGGAGGGGACAGGCATGTCAGGTCCAAGGCTTCCACCGTTTTGAACCCCTTGTACGCCTCGAAGTGGAAGAGCTTCTTGGTCTTGCTCATGGCCTGCACGGGGCATGGGGAAATGGCGAATGGGGCATGAATAAAGGTGGAGGGGACAGGCATGTCAGGTCCAAGGCTTCCACCGTTTTGAACCCCTCGTATGCCTCGAAGTGGAAGAGCTTCTTGGTCTTGCTCATGGCCTGCACGGGGCATGGGGAAATGGCGAATGGGGCATGAATAAAGGTGGAGGGGACAGGCATGTCAGGTCCAAGGCTTCCACCGTTTTGAACCCCTTGTACGCCTCGAAGAGGAAGAGCTTCTTGGTCTTGCTCATGGCCTGCACGGGGCATGGGGAAATGGCGAATGGGGCATGAATAAAGGTGGAGGGGACAGGCATGTCAGGTCCAAGGCTTCCACCATTTTGAACCCCTCGTACGCCTCGAAGAGGAAGAGCTTCTTGGTCTTCCTCATGGCCTGCACGGGGCATGGGGAAATGGCGAATGGGGCATGAATAAAGGTGGAGGGGACAGGCATGTCAGGTCCAAGGCTTCCACCATTTTGAACCCCTCGTACGCCTCGAAGAGGGAGAGCTTCTTGGTCTTCCTCATGGCCTGCACGGGGCATGGGGAAATGGCGAATGGGGCATGAATAAAGGTGGAGGGGACAGGCATGTCAGGTCCAAGGCTTCCACCGTTTTGAACCCCTCGTACGCCTCGAAGAGGAAGAGCTTCTTGGTCTTGCTCATGGCCTGGTGTGTGGAGCAAGGGAGAGAGCATGGTTTGGGCATGAGGCGAGAGGGGAGGCGGCAGAGGTGGACGCCTCGGACGTTGGCGGGAAGGAAGAGGTACGTCTGGTCCGGGGCTTCCACAGTCTTGAAGCCCTCATAGGCTTCGAAGAGGAAGAGCTTCTTGGCCTTACTCATGGCCTACACGGGGCATGGAGCATGAGGTATGGGACACACAGGGCACAGCCGCACAGGGCATGGGATGCGAGAGTAGGAGGAAGAGGCGCGTCTGATCCCATGCAGGGCTTCTACACGCTAAACCCCTCGATTGCTTCAAAAGAAAAGAGCTTCTTGGCCTTACTTCCGTAGCTCCATAGCTCTTACCCCCTGGACAGCACATGTAACCCCTACAGACTTCACCTTAAGAGCATGCAAGTTGGCAGTGAAAGTAGCGGAGAACAGCAGCGTCTGCCTCTCTTTTGGCATCCTCCCCAGAATCGCCCCTATCTCCTCCTCAAAGCCCCTGTCCAGCAGACGATCAGCCTCATCTAGCACCAGAAACTGCAGGGAAGCGAAGGAGGTGGAGGGAAGGGAGGGAGAAGTAAGCAAGCAAGCAAGAGAGGGAGAGCTAGAGTCGCCCCTATGTCCTCCTCAAATCCCCTGTCCAGCACGCGGTCAGCTTCGTCTAGCATGAAGAACTGCAGGACGACGAGAGGGAAGGCGAAGAGTGTCGAGTAGAAAAGCAAGGGAACGAAGGGGAAGGTGAGGACGCGAGCAACTGAATCGCCCCCCTATCTTCTCTCTTCCTCAAAACCCTAGCTTCGTCTAGCACCCCCCTCGGTCAGAATACCACCCGCTGACTCGTACACATAGCGCATACTAAAGTGTTGCACTCACCTGCATATAGCCAAACATTCGCCCTGTACTCTGCTGCTGCTCCAGCACCTCCCCGAGCCACACTGAGAGGCGTCCCATACCGCCCATGCTACCATGTGGCACAAACCCTGTTACGCACACATACCATGTCACAAGCTCACCTGCAGGTTGCTGAACACCCAGCCTCACACTCTCCTCCTACTCTCCTCATACGTTTCAATGGCCCCTATCAACCATACATGCCCCTGTGAACCATGCTATCACACATATACTTCTCATCACCCACCTGCAGGTTGCTGAACACCCGTCCCATGCTCCCCTCCTGCTCAAGCATCTCCCTAAGGGACACTAAGAGGCGCCCCATACCGGCTGCTACCCTGTCTCACACCCACCTGCAGGTTGCTGAACACCCGCCCCATGGTCTCCTCCTGCTCAAGCATCTCCCTGAGTCGCCCTGGCGTTGCCACCACCACATGCGGCCGACTTGCAAGCTGCATGGCCTGAGGGAAGGCAAGAGGGGAGAGGGGAGAGCGTAGAGTGGAAGTCGGAGAGTGGAGCACGGACGAATGACATGTGCAACGGCCCTCAGTCGCCCTGGCGGTGCCACCATCTAAGGGTGAAAAATTAAGGGGGGTACTCGGAATAATACTCGTATTCGCCGCACGAGGCACAAACGAGACGAGTAGGTTAGAGAGTATCTCAAAAACTCCTGAGTCTTCGCCCTGCGAGTACTCGCAGTGGCGCGCATTCGCTGGTCGAGTTGCGAGTGCTCCACGGGTACTCGCATGCAGCTAGCTAGAGGGGGGGGGGTTAGACAACGAGGGGGGAAATTGGGACTGTTGAGTAGGGAAATAGGGTTGGCGAGAAGAAAATCAGGGCGGAGTGGGGGGAATTGGGCCAGTGAGGGGGGGGGTTGTGGCTGGGGAGAGAGAAGTTACGCCTGGCGAGGAGTGTGAGTTTAGTTGGCTGGACCAACTAAGTTGGTTTTCCATTTGTGGAACACTTGCTTTCTTACCTCTTGCATGTGCGTGGTGATGGGTTCAAGTGCTATAGCTGTTTCCATCCTTGCGGAGCATTGTTGTGAGAGGAAAGATTATCTTGTTCAATGCATGCCACAAGATCGTACACGTGTTTGGAGAGGTATGCATCCACAAACAGCTCGTGGAAAATGTGCTATGGCAAGATGCTGTCAGTGGACACATACGTTTCCAAAGACGTGTACGACCCTATCACGCGCATTGAACACGACAATATTCCTCCCACAGTGCTCCGCAAGCATGAAAGCGACTACACCTGTGCCCACGCTAAGGGAGACGGGTTTCTTCACGTGGCTCGGGCCTGTTCCCCAGAAATTTCAAAACACGGGCAAGCAGGACATTAGCCCGGAAAATGCACAGTAAATCTGGGCAAAATGTTGAACGTTTCGGCCTGAATTTGGGGGTTAATGCGGTTCAGCTCGGTACCTGGTGTTTGGGACTGAACGTAGGGGGACACGAGCAGGCGAGAATTGCAATTGGGACCCTATGGGTGGCAAGATCTGGCGGGAATTGCAGTAGGGACCCCTAGGGGTGGCAAGATCTGGCGGGAATTGCAATAGGGACCCCTAGGGGTGGCAAGATCTGGCGGGAATTGCAATTTGGACTGTTCGTCTGAGGACCATAGCGTGGAACACGTGTATAGCCCCTGAACCCATTACCTCGCATACCCAGCCGTCACCTGCTCCACATGTCACCGCCGCCGCCAATGGCAAGGCAGCGCAGCGAGGGAGTCGACTCCAGAGCCTTGAACTGGTCAGCGATCTGCCAAACGAGCTCTCTTGTGGGAGTGATCACCAATGCAAACCATGTGCCCTACCCAGCCCTCACCTGTTCCACCATGTCACCCCCGCCAATGGCAACAGCACAGCGCAGGGACAATGAAGAGCCAAGAGCCTTGAACTGGTCGGCGATCTGCAAAGCCAGCTCCCGCGTGGGGGTGAGCACCAGCGCAAAGACGCCGTAAGGGTCCTCGGCTAGCTTCTGCAAGGGGGGTTGGCAGTTCCAGGCAGGGAGAGGAACAGAATGTGGGGAATTCGTTTTGAGGCGCCTCAAAAGCCATCTCGAACGTGGGGAATTCGTTTTGAGGCGCCTCAAAAGTCATCTCGAACGTGGGGAATTGGAGCCTTGAACTGGGCGGGAATCTGCAGCGCGAGCTCCCTGGCTGGAGTCAGCAAATACTCCGAAGGGGTCCTCAGCTAGCTACTTGAAGCACGAGAAGGTGCACGGGCCAACGGGAAGAGGGGGGGTGCGGAGTGTGATGCCCTGACTGGACTGGACGGCAATCTGCAGCGCGACCTCCCTGGCTGGAGTCAGCACCAGTGTAGCGACGCAATAGAGGTCCTCGGCTACTCCTGCACATGCAAGGCGAAGGGGATATGGGGGGCCTGCCTGCTGCCCTGAACGGGTTGGCGAAGGACATATGGGTGGATGGTTAACCGGCAGGGGATATAGGGGGCCTGCTGCCCTGAACGGGACGGCAATCTGTAGGGCGATCTCCCATGACTACATGGGGGCCACAAGCACACTGCAGTGGGGGGAAGCTCCAATGACTCGGGGCTAAGGGATTTACCCCAAAAGCCTCTCCTGTAAGATGGGTAGGGCGAAGGCGGCAGGCTTGCCACTAACGGTCTGAGCGACGCCAATGACGTTGCTCTGCATGACAACGGCGGGAATACACGCACACTGCACTGCACAGGGGTCAGGGTGTCAGGCTTAGGGTTTCGGACTGAAGAACGCACCTGGCGAATGGGCAGGGCGAAGGCGGCAGTCTTGCCGCTGCCATTCTGAGCCACACCGATGACGTTGCTGTCCGCGACAACGGGGGGGATGCACGCACACTGCACTGGATGCAGTCGCAGAGGTTCTGGGTTTAATGGCTTGGAGCAAAGGGCTCACCTGAAGGATGGGCAGGGCAAAGGCAGCAGTCTTGCCGCTACCGGTCTGGGCCACACCAATGACGTTGCTGCCCGCGACAACAGGGGGGATGCACGCACACTGCACGGGGGTGGGATGGCGGAGACCCATCTCATGACACGTGGCAACCAGCCAGGGCGCCAGGCCCAGGTCAGCAAAGGAGTCACACGTGGCAGTGGCGGAGAGGGACACGTCAGCCTTGGCAAGGAGCGCAGCAGCTGTTGCGTCGTCATCCTCCTCTGTTCTTCCGTCTTCTGCTGTGTCCTCTCTTTCCTCCTCCTCGCCTGCACTATCAACCAACTCCTCCTCCTCTTCCATCCCCCCGTCTTCCTCTCCTTCTTCCTCTTCTCCCTCCTCTCCGTCCTCCGGATGGTCCTCCCCGCTTTCCTTTCCTCTCTCCGCACCTGCCTCTTCCCCCTCCTCCCTCTCCCCATCCGACTCTCCATCATCCACCGCCTCCCCCCTCTCCCCACAAACCACCCCCTTCCGCCGTTTCCTGCGCCCTCCCTCAACCAAAGCCCCCTTCGCATGCATCCCATCCCTGCTGACGCCAACTCCCTCCTCGCTGCTCCGGATGCCGACACGTGTACGGCTGATCTCGTCCACTTCAGCATCGCCAAGACTCTTCCTCCTCCTCGCCTCTTCTCCTGCACCCTCCCGCAGAAACCCTGCACCCTGAACCCTGCTCTTGGCCGGCTTCGCTTGACGTGGTGCCTTCCGAGGCGAGCTTAGAGAGATTACATCTGGGCGACAATCTTCACCCTTTTCCGTATCTTTACCCCCCATGGCTTTCCGCGTCTTATCACCATGACCCCACCCTCCCTTCCCAAGAATCCCGGGGTCTGCTGCTGCTAAGGTCCGCTTTCCCGGCAGCTTCGTTCCCGTGACGGTCTCCTCTTTGGCTCCCCTTTTTGCAGTCACGTTCGCGGGCCTTGCGACATCCGGAGCCGCGCCGTCTAGGCTATTCTTGGGTTTCTTCGGCTTTTTTGCTTTGTGAAGGAATTTGGACGAGAACAGAGGAGGCTCCTCGAGCGACATCGCAACGGCCTGATTGGAAGATGGTTTTTTTTTTCCTTAACAGGTCGAGACAATGAGACGAAGTAAAGTTTCGGTAGGACTCGAATTGAAGCTAGCTCGACAACTGCGACTTCACGGAAAGAGTGCTGGTCACACCTAGCTTCGATGATTCGCGTGGCTAGCGGACGCAGGGGGTAGGGGATTCTCTATAGTTGACGGGAAGCTAGTATGGCAGAAGACCGCATGCTAAAAAGACCTTAGCTGCAGGAGTGCTGGGTGATTGCCTGGCAGGAGCAGGGATGGCATTTCCAGTTTGATCGATCTTCAAGATCCTTCGTTATGCGTAGTGTGGTACGAACCTTCTGGCAGTAGTAGAATTGTTGTTTACTGTATTCTTTTGTTCCTTGGTAACCCTTGCTCTCCTCACGATTTTCCGCGAAAGGAACAGCCGGAATGTCGCCAAAATGAGGCATTTAGGCGTGATCCAGGAATTACATATTCTCGCACGAAAAAAATCCTCAGTGTATGTTACCCTGTAAAAAAACAGGCTTCATCGCCACTCTCCGTCGCCAGTCTTGTCGAGACCACGGGTAACCCCATAATTGTTCACTCTGATCACGCATTTGAAAATGGTGACCCCAAATCCCAAGGTCGCCGTTATTGCACTCCGCCCTCGTTGCAAGCAGTCTCCCTCCATCCTGTCCTGATCAATCTCGGGTTGCGTGAGCCGAGACGACTCGTCTAGTCCTTTTAGTCGGAGACAACGAAGCGACAGGAATAAAGGCGGGCTTCCCTAGAAAAACGGCATAGAGGGATCGGAAGCTCCGTGCACCGTTCTGTAGGATCCGCGCACACGTCCGTCTCGCCGTCCCGTCCAATTGCCGACGCAGCAAATTCTGGAGAAATTCAGGCTGAATCCGAGTTTCGCCAGAGTCGACGACGTTCCGTTCGACGCAACTTTCTGCGCTTTCCTCTTCGCTTTCCTCTTCGCTTTCCTCTTCGCTTTCCTTTCTCCTGACGGAGAGCACGGGGGGAGCCGACCACTGCCTTCGCCAGTGAGGCGATGCGAGCACCCTAAGGCGTTCAGACGCCAGAATCCCAGTCCTGGTGGCTCAGTGGAGGGAGGCTCCTTCAGACAGAATGCATGGTGCACGGCAGGGCATGCGATTACAAGGCGTAGTGTCAGAAGGGTCGACTAGGTACCGTCCGTCCCACGGAGCACGCAGGGAGCCGACCACTGCCGGAACCTCAGTCCTGGTGGCTCCTTCATACAGAATGCATGGTGCACGGCAGGGCATGAGATTACAAGGCGTAGGGTCAGAAGGGTCGACTAGGTACCGTCCGTCCCACGGAGCACGCGGGGAGCCGACCACTGCCTTCGCCAGTGGGGCGATGCGAGCACCCTTATGGCGTTCGGACGCCAGATTTCCAGTCCTGGTGGCTCAGCGGAGGGAGTCTCTTTCAGACAGATTCCACGGCGCAGGGCAGGGCATGAGACTGAAGGGCGGAGGCCAATACAGAAGAGCTGGTGCCGTGGGGCGGGTTACCACCTGTTCTATTCGCACCCCTACCAGTCACCGCATACCATCTCGCATACGCCTAGGCAGCTTCCGAGCACCCGGGATTCAGTTCCCACATGCCCTCAAGATTGGAATCAACTCCGGAACGCCATCTGTCATCGGATTCCTCAACTGCGGATCGTCCGGTGCAAAACTCACAGTCAAAGCTACTGTATCCGAGCTTCTTCCACTTGGCTCTCCCTCACCTGAGCGCACTCTGCTTCACCTTCCTCTGCTTCACCTTCCTCTGCTTCCCCCTTCCATCCGAATCGCCGTTCGCCACGTCAGCGCCGCTCTTCTCCCTGTCAGCACCCTCCTGCAGCGCCTATTCAGAGCCCTGGTGCTGGCTGCTCTGCTCATTATAGGGGCTGCAGCCGTAGGGGAAAGGGTCACACCAGCAGCAGTAGCAGCTACAGCTGAATCTTCCGCTACAGCTATGGCTACAGCTACAGATGAGACCATTCAAGCGGGGGGCTTGAGAAACAAGAGGAGCAGGAGGGTCAAGGCGAATGCCTTCGTTCGGCTTGCAGCCAATCGTGTTGCGCCAGCTGTCGTGCAGCTAGAGGTGGAAAGGTACGTCTTGTTCGCTCCTTATTCCCCTCTTGTTCCCCCGTGTCCGCCCTTGTCCGCACTTCTTCCCCCCTTGTCCGCCTTGTCCGCCCCTGTACCCCCCTTGCGCCCGCCTTGTCCCCTCCTTGTCACCCCCCGTGTCCGCCCTTGGCCCCCCCCTTGTCCCCCCAGTGTCCGTTGTTGTCCCCCGTGTCCTCACCTTGTCCTCACCCGTGTCCGCCCTTGTGCCGCCCTTGTGCCGCCCTTGTGCCGCCCTTGTGCCGCCCTTGTGCCGCCCTTGTGCCGCCCTTGTGCCGCCCTTGTTCCGCCCTTGTTCCGCCCTCGCCCGCCCTGTTTCCTCTTCCCATCTGAATATTGTGGATTCAGGTCCGAGCCAAACCAGGAAGTGACATTTTAGACCACTAATTACTCCAACACTACCTCGAGGGCCCTCAAACCCTGCAGCATACGGTGCCGCTCCATCCTGCTTCTGCTGTGTGGCATGCACATTTGTCTATGACATACACCCCTTAGAGTCGCCTCGAAACAAGTTGCGGCAGTTGGTGGGTTTCTATCCGCTCCCATGCTTTCCCATCCGTCTCTCCGACTGAGCACTGCATTTGTTCGCCACTGAAATCCAAACTCTGTCTCTCCCGTCTCTCCTGTCTCTCCTGTCTCTCCCGTCTCTCCTTCCCGCGTCAAGGCAGCTTCCCCGGAGCACAGCTGCGCAGCAGGCGGTGAGCATGGGGGAGAGCAGTGAAGAAGGGGATGACGCCACGGGCCACAGTGCAGAAGAAGACGAACGGGATGGCTGCAATGGGAATGGTGGGTTTGGTTCCATGCTGCACTTGGCCTTGCCGAAGGTTACAAGGAGACGCCACAGCGAAATTAGATGAACGGGATGGTAGGAATGGGAATGGTGGATTGGGTTCCATTCCGCACTTTTCCTTGCCGAGGGTTACATGGATACACCTGTTGGTTGCCACTCGCAGTGCACTGTTACCACTCTTGCCCAGATATGGTTCAAGTCGAGTCATCTCTGGACCTATTTGAACCGCCCTGCTGCGACAAGCTGTGCCGTGCGGGCCGTCAACGTCTTTCCATTCTGGCTTGTCTTTCTGCCCCCCGTTTCTCTCATCAACTTGCCTTGCACATCAGACATCTCGTTTCTGGCGAGAATTGAGCCTCTGAATTCTGACTTGCCTTGCGTCCTCCCATTTCTCGTTGCCCTTTCAACCTGCCTTGCACACATCAGACGTCTCGTTTCTGGCGAGAATTGGGCCTCTGCCTGTGAGCGGGTCACAGGCGGCGGGCAGTGAAGCACCCAACATGCCGCGCTTGGTATCCTCCTGGCCGCACAAGCCTCGAGTGGGAGTGTGGCTGCGGAGACTGAGGGAGAGGGGGAGACATGAGGCCAAGACAAAGGCACCGGAAGTATACACAGAAACCAGTGTGTGAGCCTTTTTTGTGCTTTCTTTCCACATTTGATTCTCTAGTCGCTCACTAGTGTCTATCATTAGCCGGACAAGCCTGGGGTCCGATTGTTACTGCGGAGACTCAAGGAGAGGGGGATACGCGAGGCCAAGGCAAAGGCACCAGAGGCATACAGAGAAACCAGGGTGTGAGCTTCGTCTGCTGGTCTTCTTCTCTTTTGCGTGAAGTGCTTCCTCAACTCATCACCCCCCTAGCTTCTCCCCTTCACCATTCTCATCCCCTTCACCATTCTCATCCCCTTCACCATTCTCATCCCCGTTTCCTAACCTACTTGTTGAGAGTCCTCTCCATCAGCATGTACATCGTGTGATTTTCTCCCCGTGCCAATTTTTAGGTGACTTATGAGTCGACTCAAAAGTCACCTCGTATGACTTTCTCCCCTTGCCAATTTTGTTCCCCACCAGTGGCAGTGGGTTTATCATCAGCAGCACCAAGCGCCTGGTCCTCACCAACGCGCATGTGGTGGACGGGGCAGCTAGAGTGACGGTAGGGAGAGTGGTTGTGATTATTGGTTGTGTTGTCTAATATGCATGGCACGTTCGCACCAACGCGCATGCGGTGGACGGGGCAGCTAGAGTGACGGTAGGGAGAGTGGTTGTGAATATTGGTTGTGTTGTCTAATATGCATGGCACGGTTGCACCAACGCGCATGCGGTGGACGGGGCAGCTAGAGTGACGGTAGGGAGAGTGGTTGTGAATATTGGTTGTGTTGTCTAATATGCATGGCACGTTCGCACCAACGCGCATGCGGTGGACGGGGCAGCTAGAGTGACGGTAGGGCGAGTGAATGGTGTCGAGAAAGTCACAGTATGCACATGTATGCAGAGGAGTGGCAGTAGGGCAGGAATTATATTGCAGAAATTGTACCAATCGGCATGGGATGCGGTAGGATGACGAGGCACTCAGTGGAAGTAGAAGGAGGAGGAGGAGGAGTTAGTGGAGGGATGCAATGCTGTCTTGGAAAAGAGGGTGGATCTTGTGAGACATTAGTTTTTAATTCCCAAGCATCTCTCACAAGGGCGATAAGGGAGATAATGGCAGCATACAAGCGGGTTGGCCGTGCGTCTTGTCCGCTTCTCAAAGACCAGAAGGAAAAGACAGTGAGGCACACGCGAGGGCCACCCGCTTGTATGCTGTTAAGCTGTTCACGATCGTGTACACATTTGGGAAAGCCGCATCAAAGGGTTCTCTCTTCCTGCAGCTCAGGTCATCACTCTCTCTCCTTATGCGTCTCACTCACCCATATGTTTTCCTGCTCCTCCGCCCCTTCCTTCACTATCTCCCATTTCTCCCCTTCTCCCATCGCACGTCTCCCCTCCTTCCAGCTTCTTCTTCCCGGCGGTCATCGCTGCCCCACTCAGTTATGAGTATGCGTGAGGAGTCTATTTTTTAGGCGCCTCAAAAATAGACTCCTCACCCACAGAGTTATGAGTATGCCATCACCCACTCGCCATCCCTCCTTTCGCCCCCCTTCCCTCCCTGCCCTGCCCTTCCCTCCCCCCCCTGCCACTCCCCTCTCTTCAGCTTCTTCTTCCTGACGGCCAGCGCTTCGCCACGGAGTTGTTGGTCCTCAATCCTTCTGCTGACCTGGCAGTCCTCAAGGTAAAATATCTGAATTCATTCGAAGGTGATTAATCTGCTTGCAGCTTCTGATATGTAAGGTGATTAATCACAGGATTCCAAGCCTCTGCTTTCTTTCTATATGTATGGCCAATTCTCACAAGACCCCCACAACCTGAAACTGCATCAAGATCTTTTCAGTGTCTTGTTTTTTTTTTTTCCAGCTGATCCTGCCGCTCCATTAATTGTTTTTTGTCTGCCCGTTCCACGCACGGCTCTGCAGGTGACTCACAGACTGCCCGCCAAGAAACCAAGTGCCGCCCCTCCTTCCAGCTTGCAAGGGATTAGTGAGCCAGCTTTAGCAGGAATGTCGATGGAAATCAGACTGGTGACAGGCACTCAAGGGAGAGTTGGAGCTACGATGTCCGGGGAAGGTTGTAGACGAGAGGAATCAAGAGCGGTTGGAACAGGGGTCAGAAGCATATCAGCTGAGTACGAGGATGCAGTGGATCGTTGCAGTACTAGCAATGATTGCGGTGATGGTTGGAGTTCTGGTGCGGGCAACATGGGAGTGAGGGAGGAAGAAGAGACGGTAGTCGGGCAAATGAGAGCAGGAGGTGGATCAGGGGTGGTTGGAGGAGATGAAGAGAGAGAGGTGGACAGAGGAGGAGAGAGGAGAGGGGAGAGGAGCGAGACAGTAGAAGTGAGAGGATTCAGGAAAGGGGAAGGGAGAGGAGAGGTAGAGGAGGGAGGAGGGGACACCAGGGAAGAGGACTGGCTCCCCTGTGCGCCCATTGGTGACAGTGATGACGTGGAGCTCGCTGATTGGGTGATCTCGGTGGGCAATCCTGTGGGGTTGCCTGGCAGCATCAGTCTCGGCATTGTCAGCAGCCTGCACCGCACTGGCGCTCAGGTAAGTGCTGCAAGGTGTGCTGTGGGGGCATAATCAATTCACGTGGGAACTACCAGCAACGAGGCTTGCTAGCAGGGACAGTGCCGTAGGGCTGCCTGACAGGATCAGCCTCGGCATCATCAGCAGCCGTGGGGCTGCATAACTCACCGCACTGCCGCTCAGGTGAGTTAGGTGGAGGTCTCTCTGCAGCTCTCTAGAACACTCTTAACCACTCTAAAGAAATCTAGAGCAATCTGCAGTGCGCGTGAGCACTCTAAGCAGCAATCCCGTGGGGCTGCCTCAGCCTGGGCATTGTCAGCAGCCTGCACTGCCCTGTCGCTCAGGTGAGCATAGGGAGGGAGGGGGGGTTGGGGGATGGGGGGAGGGAAAGCAGCTCGACATGGGGCTACAGCTTACAAGAGGATGATTGGATGTGGTGCCTTGGGAGTAGCATCAGCGGCGGCATCATCAGCAGCCTGCACTGCACTGCCGCTCAGGTGAACATGGTGTGGGGGGGGGGGAGAGGGGGGGCGGGGGGGGGTGGGGGGGCATAGGGAGAGTGGGGGCATGCGGCATGTCAGCCTCAGCATCATCAGCAGCATGCACCGCACTGCGGCTCAGGTGAGCATAGAGTGGTGGGATGTTATGTTACCATGGTGTTACAAGGGGCAGCACCAGTCGGGCATCGCCGCCTGCTCTACACCGCCGCTCACTGTGCCCGTCAACCCCAGCAGCTGTCCGTCTCTCTCTCCGCCTCTTCTCCTCGCAGGTGCGAGTGCCCCGTTTCACGCTCCGTTTCGCGCTCCGTTTCACGCTCCGTTTCACGCTCCGTTTCGCGCTCCGTTTCACGCTCCGTTTCACTCTCCGTTTCTTCCAGCCACATACTCTGCCCATCTACCTTGGCACCTCCCCTCCCTCGCGCTTCCCTTCTCTCTCCCTCCCCTCATCCCGGGAGTGCCTCTGGCACTGCTTCTCCTCTTCCACCCGATCTCTCCATTTCTTCCAGACCGACTGTGCCGTCAACCCTGGCAGCTCTGCTTTATCCTCCCCCTCTCCGTCCCTCTCCCACTCTCTCCCCCTTGCCTTCCTCGCAGGTGGGAGTGCCGCACTCCACCCTCCATTTCTTCCAGACCGACTGTGCCATCAACCCTGGCAGCTCTGGGAGTCCTCTTGTGAACGAATTCGGAGAGGTAAACGAGGTTGGGGTGAACACTTACGGGTGAATGACAGTGCTACTGGGTAACTTTCAATGCCAGCCGCTCCTCCTGTTTGGTTTCATGGTTTGGGTCCCTGACACGTTAGTGGATCTCGTTCCTTCACTCCCGCTTTCTTGCACAAGGTCTCACTGAGAGCATTGATGACGTGGCTCATTCTCATTGCTGCATGCAGGTGATTGGCATCACAACAGCCATTCGGTCGGATGCTGAAGGGGTAGCCTTCGCCATTCCCATTAACCATGTGAGTCTTTTCAGCACCTCACAGCACATTCAGTAATCATGAGATTCTTTTCAGTCAGCAGCACTAGTATTCATTCAAGAAGCAGTGTCAGCAACGTCCATGCATGTTTCTTGGGTCAGTCGTGTGAGCCATCTTATATAGCCAGGTGAACATGTTGTTATGCCTTGAACAGGTGAGTTGAGGGCATTTAATCACATTAGCTTTAAGAGTCTTACTATGCTTGTTGAACGCCTACCCCCACCCCCCTAAACCACGTCAGTGTGTGCTTTTTTGCTGGCTATGAGCGTAAGCCTCGCATTAGCGTATGACTCTTGCTTCGACACATTTTAGGGCTTCTCTAAACGTTATTGTCACTAAGCGTAAGTCTGGTACATCTGGTCTCAATTGTCGCTTCTTATATTCTCTTACTCTGTTTATGCAGGCCATTCGGGAGCTCAGGTTGCTTGGTTTTCAATTATAGCCAAGAAACACAGGCACCGTTTCCAGCAATTAATTTGGGAATTGTGTGAGGTTGATGTCTCAGGGAATTGTCTTCAGTACTGTTGGGCTGAGAAAAGCCCTTAGGATCTTTTGCAGAGACTAAGTCCCAGCTGTTTGAGACTTGGAGTAGTGCAGCGGAAGTTGAGGCAGTTGAACCCTTGTACTAGTATGTGAGAACAAGTGATTGATTAAAGAAACAAGCATACAGCAATATATAGAAGATAAGAAAGCAGTTGTAGAATACAGTTACAGGAACGGTTTATCGAGTCGCACAGCGACTCGATTGCCGCTTCGGTTACCATCCGTGATGTTGTAACGGTCAGTCGCAACCTCCAGTTGCGACCTTTCGAGTCCTTTCGCATTCTTTGTCCGCCCCCTCGTGTAACCTCCGTTGACTCGCGTGCTCCCCTGTAATCTTCCTCGAGTACAGTGTTACACTTCAGAAACGCTTAAGTCCTTGAGATATTTCCAACACTCCCCTTCGTTTCTGGAGTGCTGGAGTGTTCAGATCCGGTGACGTTTGTTTGCCCGGTTAGGAGCATGCAGTAGTCGAATTTTGCTTTCGCCAATTTCTTCGTCAGATAATCTGCGGCCATTTCTGTCGTCGGGCAGTAACTGAGTTGAAGTCTCCCCTTCGCGATTTCATCCTTGACGAAGAAGTACCGCAGGGCGATGTGCTTGGTTCGGTTGGCGAAGCCGTCCTTGTTCGCGATTTTGATCGCAGATTGGTTGTCGCAGAGGAGTGAGAAGGCGGGCAGGGTCGCGATCTTCGCTTCTTCGAGTAACTCTCGTAGGTAGAGTCCTTCCTTGGTCGCAGTACAAAGGGCGATATACTCTGCTTCAGCCGAGGATAGTGCGATTAACTCCTGCTTGCTCGACTGCCAGGAGATAGTTCCGATAGGTTCTAGTCGGTAGATGTAGCCCGTCCTAGACCGTCGATTTTCGCTGTCTCCCGCGTGGTCGGCGTCGACGTATCCGAGTAGTTGTACGGACGGTGTTGTTGCCTTGCTGTAGGTGAGCCCGATCGTCGGCGTGGAGACGAAGTAGAGTAGCGCTCGATTGAGTTCTTCGAGATCTTCCTCTTGCGGCTGCTTCAGATGTGTCGCCAGCTGACTCGCACCATAGGATAGGTCGGGTCGGCAGGTTACTGCTGCGAATAGTAGGCAGCCGAGCTTCTGTTGATACTCCTGGATTTGTTTCGCGGGGAGTTTTGTGGAGGCGCTACTGTTGTTCCCATAGCGGTAGGGAGTTGGGACCGCAGTCGGTGCTAGACCGAATTTCTTCGCGACGGTGCTTGAGTACTTTCCAGCGTGTAGGTAGAACGCCGTGTCGTCTTCCACGATGTTCAGTCCTAGGTACTGGGTAACTTCGTCGGACACCGTGAGAGTTAAATCTTCTTTCAGCTCCCCTTCGAACCAGGTGGCGATGTCGATAGTGGAGCCGATGTAGAGCAGGTCGTCGACGTAGACTATGAGCAGAATGTAATCTCTTCCCTTCTGCAGTCGGTACATGCCTTGGTCATGTGGTAACTGTAGGAATCCGATTTTTACGAGCCGGCCGTGAAGGTGCTGCTGCCAGAGCCGTGGGGCTTGCTTGATCCCGTAAAGGGATTTTTCCAGCTGGCATACTTTTGAAGGGTCGTCGATGAATCCGTGGGGTTGTTCGACGAAGATTTCGGCGTCCACAGGTGCGTACAAGAAGGCGTTTGCGACGTCGATTTGCCGTAGTGGTAGTTTCTTCGTGGCCGCGACGGCGAGTAGGATGCGCAGGGAGGTGTGACGGGAGACTGGGGCGAAGGTTTCTGTGTAGTCGGTTCCGTATCGTTGGTCGAAGCCTCGTACGACCCATCGCGCTTTAAAACGTTCGATGGAGCCGTCCGCGTTGGTCTTAATGCGGTACACCCATTTCCCCGAGAGAATGTTCCTCCCGTTGGTGTTGGTTGTCGGTACTAACTTCCATGTATTCCGGTCTTGGAGGGCTTTTAACTCTTTTTCCATTGCTTCCTTCCATTTCGCCTTATGTTCCCCCCCCAGAGCCTGCGACAGGGTCGATGGCTCGCGCGGAGAAGGCGGCGGCGGGTGCTGGACGGAGACCCATAGTCCTAGGATCTGCAGTCCCGTGGCTGTGTGTCGAGGGGAATTTTCATTCCCGGGATAAGCTGCTTCATCACCGTCTTCAGGATCGGGTAAGAAGTTTGGGCCGATGCGTTCGGAAATATTCGAGTCGACGGGGTGTGGTGTAGCGTAGCCTTGGTCAGCGAAGTGGTAAAAGGTGTCGAGGTTGTTGCTATCGAGGGGATTATCTTCATCGAGTGGAACAGGTACGGAGCAGTAGGGGAGTGGTCCGGCAGCTTCCGAGGCTCCAGGGACGTCTTCTTCTGCTGCGTCAGCCTCGGCAGCATGGTCAGCGAAGGAGCGAAGGCCCGCGAAGTCGTCGGTGGGGTTGTCTGAGTTGGCAATGTTGTCCAGGTAATGCTGCAGCGTCAGTCGCTCGTAGAAGATAACATCACGTGATGCCACCGTATTTTTGTCTTGTATGTCGAGAATCTTCCACGCGTGAAAATGTTTGGCGATGCCGAGGTGTAGTCCCCACCGAGCTCGTTGAGTGAAGCGTCCTGCTCGAGCTGTGTGGGGTCTGTATTGTACCATGCAGCCGAAAACTCGAAGTAATTTTGTGCTGCCCCTTTTTCCCGTCCACAGCAGGTGTGGTGATGCGTTGTTGGGGAGCGATGACGAGGACAACAGGTTGTGCAGGTGGACTGCATGTGTCATCGCGTCTGGCCACAGTGTGTTGGGCAGTTTCATTCCCAGAAGCAGTTTTCGCATCGTCGTCTGCAGGGTCCGGTTCATGCGTTCTGCTACCCCCTGCTGCTGGTGAGCATAGGGCAGAGACACCAGGCGTCGGATTCCCCTTTCCGCGAGATAGGTCCTGAAGCGTTGTGACTGGTATTCCAGTGCACCGTCTGACTGGAAACTCTTGAGTTTTGTTCCTGACTCTCGTTCGGCGATTGGAAGCCATGTGGTGAAGGCCTCGAAGGCTTGATCGCGCGTTTTGAGATTGAAGTGCCAAACGTATCTGGTTGCGGCGTCGATGAACGTGATGACGTAGTTGAAGTCAGCTTCGGTGTCGTCTCGAGGCATGTTTAGAATATCGCTGTAGACCTTTTCCATCGGAGCGTAAGTGGGTGCGCTTGGATTGTGATGGGCTGGGAAAGGTTGATGAGGAAGATCTGCTTCGGGGCATGTGAAACACCGTGCGCGTGGTCGTCGGAGTTCCTGGCCGCTCGTCGTCAGAAGGGCGTTGCGTTCTAACACCTCTGCTTGTATTGTTTGTAGTATCGTGCTGTTTGCAGGATGTCCGAGACGTTGGTGCCAGATGTCGTCGGGAGCGCGGTGACCGGGCGAGCGGTGGTAGATGTCGGCGTTGGAGAAGAACGCGACGACCGAGGCGGGACTTCGACAAGCTTCTCGTGTGGCGGGCATAAGTTGGTCTGCTTCCGTTGGCGGTCCTCGTGTTGATGGTGGTGGTACTCGGCTGGGTCCTGCTGCCGATACTGCAGGTGATGGTTTTGTTGGGACGCTTGCTGGTACTTGTCTTTCTTGTCTGATAACTGCTAATGCCCGTGTTCTTTCTGCTGCAGGTATGGTGTTGGAGTGCCAGAAGCCGTCACTGTCGAAGTCGGGATCAAGATCTGGCGGGTGAGTCCAGGCGGCGAACGATACGATGCCATCGCTGTCGGCAGTTCCGCGGTCGGGGACGAAGTCCAACACGAAGACACCGGACTTCAGGAGGGCACGACCGATGAAGAGACCGCCCTTCCCGTGGTAAAGTCGGAACTCGTTGGAGAAGGAGTCGCACTCCAGGTGAATCCCCTTAGCCATTAGTTGGCTTACGCTTAGTAGGTTGTATCCCAGATTGTCGACGATGAGGACTTTGTTGAGCTGAAGAATAACGTTTGTCTCCATTGATTGTAACTGAACCACGCCTTGTCTGTTTGTTTTCAGGTTTTCGTTGTTGGCGACGGTGATGACGACGTCGTGGTTGAGGCGTCGCTCGTGTTGTACGAAGCGTCCGGAGGAGCACATGTGCTGACCGCAGCAACTGTCCAAGAACCAGGTGTTCCGCCCGGTGGGTTCGGCGTTAGCGACTGCAGCGTATGTCGGGTTGACCTGAAGTCCTTGCGAGCGCGGCGGCGGGAATTCCTCTTCGTCTGGTGCGTAAGTGGGTGGTGAACCGGGTGCGCAGTTGTCGATGTGTACCATGCAGTTGATGATGTTGGGTGTTTGTTGTGCAGATGTTGAAGAGCGCCTTGGAGGACTTGCTTGAGTGGAAGTGACTTGTGGGTCTGCTGCACGGTAAACGCGAGGGCGGTTGCAGTTGACTTTGGAGTGCCCGGAAGTCTGGCAGTTGTGGCAGAACGGCGGTACGATGGTGAGTCCTCGGTTGTCGCGTTGATCTTGCTTGCTGCGTCGGTTGTAGTTGTTGTCATTTCTTCTTTGAGTGTAGAAGACTAACTGCTGTTGCTTCCTTGGTTGTCTTTCCTCGAACAGATCCATCTCCTGTTGTTCAGCGTGAAGCTCGGCGCAGAGGTGCATCTCCGAAATTCTTCCGTGGGCTCGAAGAAGTGATCGTGTGGTTCTCCATTCTGGCCCGAGCCCGGCGAGGACAAGTGTCACGAAGCTTTCTTCAGTGATCGTTCCTCCGCACCGAAGCAGGCGGTCGCGGAGGGTCTGGCAGCGACTCATATACTGCATCGCTTTTTCCCCGGTCTTCATCTGTATTGTTGTCAGCTGTTGCATGAGTCTGCTTTGTGTCACGCTGTCGTTTGCTTGGTAAAGGCACTTGAGGTGGTGCCATGCGAGCTCCGCGGAGTTTCCATAGCTCCGATATGTTCTGATGCTCTGCTGCTCTTGTGGTGACAGGTTCCGCAGGAGGACTGTATACGCCAGTAGCGACTGATACGTGAAGATCTCTTGTTCTTTTCCAGTGCCGTTGCTTGGGAATGGCAGGGACCCGTTGAAGTATCCCAGAAGATGCGCGGCCTCCATCAGCAGCTCGAACTCGAAGCTCCAGGTAAAGAAGTCGTGTCCGTTGAACGGTGAGGATGTTTGTAACTTGATGACGTGTGAGAATTGAGCCTGAAGACTGAGAATCTCGTTTGGTGTTTGTTGTGATGCAGCTGCTGTTGGTTGGGCGCGGGGCGGCATGAACTCGAACGTCCCCGGTGAAGAATGATAAGGCGCAAAGGTAGGTGCTTGGTTGTGTCGCCCGAAGGATGAGTTGTCGAGGCTCATCGGCGCTAATCCCATGTTTCCTCCATTGCTCTGTGTTGAATGCGCAGGTGTCCTTGTCTGCTGTTGCTGGTCGAAGTGTGACATGAAGCTGAAGAATCTCTCCATGAGATTCGGGTCCACACTTGAAGAGGGAGACGGAGTCACCATCTCTGGTACTCTTCCTGTTGTTTCTTGAGCAGTCCCGGTCTCTGTCTGCAATCCTGAGGTGTGCAGACCAGAGTTGCCGTGTTGAGTTTCTTGGCCGCTGGGTGAGCCCGTAGAGACTTTCTTGCCCTTGCTGTCCATGTCTTGTAATCAATGAAGTCGTTGAATTGAGTTGAGTTGCAGTTTGTTGATGGAGCGTAGTTGCTGGGAGTTTGGTCTCTGACCAGCTCTCATACCATGTTGGGCTGAGAAAAGCCCTTAGGATCTTTTGCAGAGACTAAGTCCCAGCTGTTTGAGACTTGGAGTAGTGCAGCGGAAGTTGAGGCAGTTGAACCCTTGTACTAGTATGTGAGAACAAGTGATTGATTAAAGAAACAAGCATACAGCAATATATAGAAGATAAGAAAGCAGTTGTAGAATACAGTTACAGGAACGGTTTATCGAGTCGCACAGCGACTCGATTGCCGCTTCGGTTACCATCCGTGATGTTGTAACGGTCAGTCGCAACCTCCAGTTGCGACCTTTCGAGTCCTTTCGCATTCTTTGTCCGCCCCCTCGTGTAACCTCCGTTGACTCGCGTGCTCCCCTGTAATCTTCCTCGAGTACAGTGTTACACTTCAGAAACGCTTAAGTCCTTGAGATATTTCCAACAAGTACGAATTCCGTTTCATCCATGTCGCAGTGCAAGCCGAAGTACAGCAAGACATCAGTGTTTCCAGATTTCGAAGTTGAAGTCTGATTTCACAGGTTGACTCACAGAAATAGCACTCGTCCATTCCAACACAGGCGCCAAAACATGATGTCTTCACGAATGCCACCTGTCAAATATTGTCATGAACTAGGCAACCCCCATTCTGCACTGTGTGGGTACTTTTCCTTCTTCCAAGCTGACTCACAACACGCGCCCATGCCTCCATCGAATTTATGTACACCTTCCCTGCTCACATCTATCCTATCCAGCTTTCCCACCGCCTAAACACGTTTGCCTCAGCAGCTGGAAGGAAGCGGCAAGGTGCGTTGAACAGTGCCACCGCTTGGGATTCGATGGACCATTAGCAGAAGCCTCAGAGTATGGTACACAACTCGTTGTGCCTTCGCCCTCGTCCTCCTCTTACTCGCCTCCCCCCACCTCTTTTTCCTCTCTCTCCACCTTCTCTTGCCACCCATTCTTCGCCCGTTACTTCCTTGCATGCATTTCTCCTCCTCCTTTTTCCTCTTCCGTTCTCTCTTACTCCTGCTTTCTGTCGTTCCCTCCCCTCCTCCTCCTCCTCCTCCTCCTCCTCCTCCTCCTCCTCCTCCTCCTCCTCCTCCTCCTCCTCCTCCTCCTCCTCCTCCTCCTCCTCCTCCTCCTCCTCCTCCTCCTCCTCCTCCTCCTCCTCCTCATCCTCCTCCTCCTCCTCATCCTCCTCCTCCTCCTCCTCCTCCTCCTCCTCCTCCTCCTCCTCCTCCTCCTCCTCCTCCTCCTCCTCCTCCTCCTCCTCCTCCTCCTCCTCCTCCTCCTCCTCCTCCTCTTCCTCCTCCCCTTCCTCCTCCTCCTCCTCTTCCTCCTCCTCCTTGCCTCTGTCCGCCTTTCTCTCCTCCACTTTCTCCACGTCCTCCCCCCTCATAACCTCCACTCTGTACAGCATCTCCCTCCTCAGAACAGCCATCTCTCTCCTTTCTCCGCTTCCAATCCGTCTGCCGATACTCCAGCCGCTTTCTCTCCCGTGCCTTGGCTACCTTCCCTTCCCTCTTTCTCTGCGCCTGCTCAAATCCTTCCTCCCATTCCTCTGCCATCTGCTCATAGTCAGAGTCCTCCTGAGAATAAAATCGGGCAATATGAGTGGCGCATGCAAGCATGAGTAAGAGAAACAAACAAACACACACACACACACACACACACACACACACACACACACACACACACACGCACACACACACGATGCAACGGGCATCGGACTGTAAGTTGTAAGATGTAGGATAAGCAGCAGCAGGAGTGGGTCCTCTTGATTTGCATTGCGCTCATCGTGCTTCCACAAGCAAGACAAAGGAGGCAAGTCACTTGTCTCATCACTCTTCTCAAACTACCTCCCTCCCTCCCCACCCGCCATTTTCCCACTATTCTCCGTCGTTCACACGTCACACACACAAACACACACACACACACTCACTCACCCACACACACACACACACACACGCACACACGCACGCACATACACACACACACACACACACACACACACACACACACACACACACACACACACACACACACACACACACACACACACACACACACCCACCCACCCACGCCCACACCCACCCTCCCACACCTCTTCCGGCAGCTCTGAAAGGCATTTCCAGTCAAACAGACCATAACCCAACAGCTGGTTCATTCTCAGCTGCGGATGAGCCGGCCATGGCTCCGCCCTCTCCCACTCCTTGCGTGCTTGCTCCACATGGTCCTGGAAGCACCCCTGAAGTGCGCCTGAGGGTGAGGAGGTGGTGGGGTGATTTTCGAGTTGACTCAATTGTCCCTGCGTGCTTGCTCTTTTAAATGGGCCTGAGAGTGTGCCTAAAAGTGTGCCTGAGTGTGTGCCTGAGAGTGTGCCTGAGAGTGTGCCGGTGATTGGCCATATTTTGCAGGTGGCAGAGGGCGGCGGTATGGAGGGTGAGAAGGAGGTGGGGATAACAAAAGACAACAGCGGATGAAGAGAGGTAGGAACGAAGGGAAGACGCATGTGGAAACGGGGTGATTTATCTTTATCCTATTAATTTCTCCCACAGGTTCACGGATAGAGGAATTACGGGTTCACCTCTGCACCTACCCGGGATTTTGCTACCCCGGGGCACATCTGCGACCTTTCTCCATGCCCCTTTTCCATCATGTCCTCATGCCACCCCCTCCCCCATCTGAATACCCACCTCAACAACCCCCCCATACTCCACCTGTTTTAAGAAATTGGAAGCTCTAAATGCCTCCTGAACAGCGTGCCTAAATGCAACTTACATGCCTTAAGAAGGCCTCCTTATTGATGCCCACCTTCTTCACCCCCCCATATTGCGCCCGAAGCAGCTTCACAAGCTTTCCATTCCACACCCTTGCAGGATTGCTCTCCTTCTCCGTCTCCTTCCATGCTGCCTCCGCCTTCTCCTTCTTCCTCCGTACTTGCTCCGCCAACTCCCTCCTTCCTACTTTCTCTGCCTTCTCCTTCTCCCGTGCCTTCTCCTTCTCCCGTGCCTTCACCTTCTCCCGTGCCTTCACCTTCTCCCGTGCCTTCACCTTCTCCCGTGCCTTCTCCTTCTCCCGTGCCTTCTCCTTCTCCCGTGCCTTCTCCTTCTCCCGTGCCTTCACCTTCTCCCGTGCCTTCACCTTCTCCCGTGCCTTCTCCTTCTCCCGTGCCTTCTCCTTCTCCCGTGCCTTCTCCTTCTCCCGTGCTTTCTCCGCCTTCTCCCTCTCCTTCCGTGCCTTCTCTGCCTTCCCCCTCTCCTTCTCTCTCCGAGCTTTCTCTGGCATTTCCTCCTTGGTCGCTGCCTGTATCTCTCCCCATCTACTCACTTCACAGTCCAACTCCTGCTTCCGCTGCTGCCTCATCGCCCGCTTTACCACTTTCATCTTCCCCATCAGCCCTCGCATCTCATCTGCCACCTCCTCCTTCACCATCCGCACCTCCTTCCGTGTAGCTTCCATAACTTCTTTCCAAACGCTAACCTTGAAATTAAACACGTTTGCCTGCTGCCCCATCTCTTGCTTCACCTCGTCCACCCTCCCTACCACCTTTCCCACCTCATGATCCAATCCCTGTCTCCACTGCTGCCCCCCCTCTACCACCTTCCCTACCAGCACCCTCATTTCACATTCCCTCTCCTCCTTTGCCTCCTGCACGCCCCACTTTGTTGCTTCTAGCTTCACAGTCAATCTGCTCATTTGAGTATCCAACTCCTCCCTCCACTGCAAACTCATCTCTTCCATATTTCTCAGTAGCCCCCTCATCTCACAATCCCTCTCCTTCTTGGCCACCAGCACCTCCCTCCTTGTAGCTTCCAGTTTCCCTATCAACCTGCTCATGTGTGCATGCAACTCCTCCCTCCACTGCAGGCTCATTTCTTCCATCTTCCCGACTAGTCCCCTCATCTCTTTCGTCCTCTCCTCCTTGGCCGCCAGCACCTCCCTCCTCATCGCTCCCACTCCCTCCTCCTCTTGCCCCAGCTGCCGCACCCGCACATGCAACGAGCGCATCTTGCTCCTCAACGCATCCCGCTGCTGCCGCAACTCACACAGCTCTTGGGGTGCTCTGGCAATGCTGCAGACTGCTTTCCTGGCATCCAGCCAATGCTCGGACATAGCAGCGTGGCAAAGTCAAAAGAGATAAAGCAGCAATCACACAAGTTCTCCACACGCGGGACACATTTCGCTGAAAGCAACGGCTGAGAATGTAGAGCTGGGTCTGTGGGCTTGGCACACCTGGCGAGCGTAGTCGTGGCATGCATCCTCGTCGCATCACAAAATGAAACGGTGAGATGGCCTGCAGATGTGAGCTGATGGCAAAAGTTTACCTGCACAAGACAGCGGTGATAGTGCACATTCCGGAGAATTGGGGATGAAATTCGAGCAACAGCGTTGTGATCTGGATGCAGGACGAGAGAGCAGAGGAGCACATCAGGGACCAGAACCCAGGAGCAAGCAAGGGCACACGAGAAGGAAGGGGTTGTGGACTAATGTAAAAACCGCACCACAGAAGAAGTGCTCATAGCCGTGATCCTCTGAAGGCTTCCCTTGGCAACCAGGAACCAGTGGTGCGGGAATGCAAGGAGGCGAGGGAGGGAGATGCCCATGCACCAGAAGACGACAGCAAGAGTGGTGCACGTTAGGTACGCGTGGAGGAACTGCCGGGGGGGGAGGAAGGGGGAGAGGGAGAGGGAGAGGGGAGAAAGCAAGGTTGGATAAACTCAAGATTGGCCCAATCACCAGAGGGGGAGAGCGAGGGTGGTGCAGGTGGATGACCTGTAGGAGAAAGAAGCCAGAAGGAAGGAGGAGGGCGGTGGGGAAGAGAAGGCGGAGTTGGACAAAACACAAGTTTGACCAGAGAATGAGAGCGAGAGTGGTGGATGCCAGGAATATGTGGAGAGGGAAATGGGAAGGGTGAGGGGGAGGAGGGGGTGGGGGGGAAGGGAGGGGAGAGAAGGTAAGAGAGGATGGTGCGTCCAAACCCACAAGGGTGTGAGTGCCCTGTGCGGGAAGGGGATGCGGTGGGGAGTTAAAAGGCTTAAAGGATCCGACGAGCAGAACAAGGCACTAGAGGATTGCGAGCAACGCGGGGTACGTATAAGCTGGTTGACCTGTAAGGGGAGGAGCACTGACACTTCATGATATGTCTCACTCATACCATGGCAGCTCCATCCCTTGCTAGGAGCTCCACTCTGTCACCACCACCACCCGTTGCAAAGTCACACATGCTGCCGGCCATAGCTTCGCCAACGCCCCCGAGCCGCTTCACTACAATTGCGCACTGTCGCTCACACCTCTCATTAACAGGAAAATTCGCCGGTAGCAGCGTTAGAAGTGGCAACAATCCGCAAGGTGGCGAAAGCGTGGGAGCCGGAGATGAGAGATTCCAAAGGCCTTGGTTACGTTCTGATGAAAATCTTATGGAGACGGCCTGCCGCTTGGCTGAGAGACCCCTTGACGATAGAACGGGGAGACCAAATGGTTGAGTCCACCGGCTGCATCAGGAGCGCCAATGAGCGGAATGCATGGAATGAGCAGAATGCGTGGTGATATATAAAAAACGGATTAGCACGTAGATGCGCGCACGGCACCGTGCCTGCCGAAACTGGACTTGTTCCTTGTCGTAAGTGCCGGCGAGTCTATTTGGGGGAGCACGGAGGCCTTCCCGCTGGGTAGAGCAACCCCCCCCCTCCAAAACGTAGAGGCCCTCCTCCTCGATTGAGTAGAGTGCCGCGTCTCGACTCCGATCCGGGGCTCGGGGCACCCGCGAACTGGACATTTCGACCGTTCCATGCCGTGAACGCGGGCGAGGAGCATCGTGCCAAGGTCCAGGGGCTGCGCCATGATGCTCTCCTCTCTCCTCGCTCGCAATCGCGGCATGGTGCCATGAGAGCATGGCGCCGATGGAAGCTAAGTCTCATGGGATGCAAGGGTTGCGTCGGGAGAGACGATGTGGCATGCAACGAGCGAGGTAGACGGTGACACGTGGGGGCGCAAGGCGGTGGTGTACTGTACTGATTGAAATGGAAGGAGTGAGCATAGCATGAGGTTTAGGGTCCTGTGGATGGGGCGAGAGGTGAAGGATCACGCGTTATAAGAAATGTACAAGGAATGCTTGGGATTTGATATAGTCAATCACTTTAGCACTCTAATGGGTAAAATCAAAATCACCCAAATAGATGCAACCAAATGAAATCAGTGCTACATCTCGACATGCTGGATGTCCAAACTCACTGTCTATTCATGCCCCAAAGTACACACTTTCTCCAACACTACAAACAAGGACATATTGAATGCAATGCAATCTTGTGGTAGCACTGGTAGTTGCCGCAACCACAATGCGCAGCTAAACTAGCCAAGACAATGTGCAGAAAAGTATGGCACTGCTTCAAGAGAAGTGGTTTCTGTAATGCACAATAGAATTGACTCCTTCTTGCCTGGCCTACCGCATCTCAACCATCTAACCACTCATATACAGTTTTCCTTTTAGAGAGCTCAGTCGGACGCGCACCTTCAGCAGCTTTGCCGCTCCATCCAACTCCGCCCCACCTAGAACCCCAATCCCCCCCCGCTCTGCCCCTAGCCCACTCTGCCCACTCAGCCAAACCCCCTCTCCCAGACAAGCCACATGTCTGCCCCCTTACATCCTCAGCCACATTCCTTCTCGTCCACCCTGCATCCTTGCTGCCACGCGATAGCGCATCCAGCTTCTTAGCCAATTATCTGTTCCAAAGACACTGAGATTCCCTCTGCTTGCTGGCACAATTGAAATCATCCGTCACACTCCCTTTGCCCTCCTTTGCACTATACAAACTTGTTGGGCTGACAATAGCCCTATGATCTTTTCAGAAGACTAAGTCCTGTTGAAACATTAGGACAATAGGAAGCCATGGAATGGCGTGAGGGTATAGCTAGGAGAGATTTGACGAGAAAAAAAGGGAGAGACTAGAAGAGAGAGGGATACAAAGAGGGGGTTGTACCCTCTACAGTAGGTTTCAGTAACACCTACCAAGCGTATCAATTATATATCAAAGATATAATTTAACACACCCCCTAGGCTTGGTAGCCGAAAGCACTCCACACATACCCCCTAAATCTAGCACCCCCATACTCAGTAGCAGCGACAGCTACCCCAGCCCGGTCAACCCCTCGGCGCGGGAGGTGGCGACGTCGACCGCAAGGGCTGCGGTCGCTATTGCGGCAGCGTCGAGATCGGCGGTGGCGGCGGCGGCTTCGACGACATCGGCGGCGGCGTCGGCGGAGCTCACACACTCGGCGGCGTGGCCGCGCTCCGCGACGATGGGACGACGGCGGGAGTCAGCCGCCGGCTGCGGCGAGGATGAGCGGAAGCAGGGGAAGGGGGGGGGGGGGGGGGGGGGGGGGGGCGTGGTCCCGCATCACACCCGCGGCTGGTGTGCGGGCGTCAGGACTGGCGGCGCCTCAGATGTTGCGCGGCCGGCTGGCGCTCGACGACGCCGCCACTGCAGCATTACGACGCCGCCACAGTGCGGCGTTGATGCTGCGGCGGCACGTCGGAGCTGCAACGGCAGTACGACGCCGTCGCCGTGGTGTGGCGTCGACGCCACACGTCGGGGCTACGACGGCAGCACCATGACGCCGTCACTGCAGCGCGGCATGGCTGCGGCGGCGGCACGAAAGTAGCGAAAATGATGACGGCGGAAGTACGAGGGGAGCCTGTCGCAGGCCGTACACCGGGTGCTGGAGGA